CCGCTAGTGAGCCCACAATAAAGAGACCACCACATCTGACCTTAGTATATATTAATGGACTCTGTTACAAAACTGTAACTGTTCACAATCTACCATTGGAAAAAAAAAAAGTTTCACCCGGCAATGAAACAAAGTCTAATATTCTAATTTTAATTCCTGTTTCTGAATCCAAAAGTCTAACAATTGTGGGAAATAATTTTAAATCTTTGTGATTGAAAGCATCATGATATATGGATATAAATGTGCATTTAAAATCTAATTCTTTCTGCAATTGTGAAAATGCACGGTAATAATTAATAAATAATAGGTAATATATTTTTACAGTACATTTAAAATAAGAAATGCAGATGTTTCCTAAAAAGAGAGACATTCCTCCAAAAAGCGGGACTGTCCCACCAAAATCAGGGCATGTGGTCACTTTACCTAAATACCATATTTACGCCGCTTACTTCCATGTGTATTATTATTTGATAACCGCACACTGATCAACCATTGGTGAACTTGGCGAGTAAACCTGCAACAGCGCCAATGGGTTCTTTGCGGATGAAAACCCTTTTATAATTACATTGAAAGATATTTAAAGACAGATTTAAATTTTACTAATTTTTTCCATTAAATAAACAATGAGGAAAGTGCAAAATCACCCACTGCTTGGGGCGTTTTTAAGAATTGCACATACCCGCTATCCAAGTACACATCAACCGATTTTCACTTAAAAAGCATCCCAGAATTGCACAAAAATGGCATTGTGCACTCCCTTGACTTTATCTATGTACACATCGATCTATTTTCACCTTGGCGAAATGTGGTGATTTTTGGCGGCACACGGATACCAATTTTGTGCAATTCTTTGACTCGTTATTTTGGCTTGCGAAGCGGCGATTTTTGGCCCAAAAATCACACAAAGCCGAAATAACAAGACAAACAATTGCAGAAACTCGGTATCCATGTACACATCAATTTATTTTCACTTTAAAAAAAAATCCCAGAATTGCACAAAAATGGCACTGCGCACTTCTTTGACTTTATCCATGTACACGTCGACCTATTTTCACTTTAAAAAAAAAAAATCCCAGAATTGCACAAACTTCCATTCCCTTTACTTTGTCCATGTACACATCGATATATTTTCACTTAAAAAGTCAAAGAGCACCAAATTCTACAATATAGGCAAACAAAAATACATAATCTCAATAAAATACATTTTAAACCAAACAATAAAATAACATAGTGGAAAAACATGTTATACATTTAAGCACTACCAAAAAGCAAATATTCACTTACCATGATTTTCGAGTTCGCTTCATACACCCAGAGCCACGTAAAAATCAAAATATCAATCATACTAAAATGACTTTTTCAAACCACGTACTCTTTCTGATCGAACGCTTCACATAGTGACCATCTGAACCTTTCTTCCTATAAATCCATTCAAATGCATCTAAGTGGTTTTTACGTTCAACTAGACGCATATTCTTCCTACATACAGGACACTTATAATGGCTACTAAGTAAACCTTCATTTACACACCAGTCCATTAAAGCTCTTTTTCCCTTTCGCTCCAAATCGTACAGAAACTTCAAATTACAAATTAATCTTACTACGTTCTGCCATTCTACCGTCTAAAGAATCACCAACACACACCACAAAAACGCTTTCAAAACATCCCACGATTCAAAATTTCCCAGAATCATGCACCTGATTATGTGACAATAGGGTTTCCATAATATTCAACTACTCAGGCTACCATAAATGAAACAACAACTTCGCCATAATACAAGGGGTACCCTAAAGTCTACTCTACCCTCCAATTCTTGTTCTCTTGTAAAAAGCACCAAACAAATAAGTGGGCAATTCTGCACTTTACCTAAATAACACTGTCAAGAAAATTATTACATGATTATTTTACTACTGTTAGGCTTTATATATTGTTTTTTGTGCTAACTTGAATTTAATACAAATTTATTTTCATATATCACATTTCACCGGTTAATGTTATATCCATATGCTATGAATTTCACTTCCATATGCTTAATATATTATTTCCTCTGTTAACTTAAATTTATGTCACTTATTATTTAATTTATTTTTGATTATATGCACAAAATACCACGTTTACGCCAAACGGCTCCAAGTCTTACAAGCAGAAACTTGGAAATATCCCAAGATTTAAAAATAAAAAATAAAAAAACTATCATATATTACATAGCTGGGTAAAATCCTGTGTGTGCTGATCTTTGGAATATGGTAACTGGTAGTTTGGCGACATTTTGGAGGCGATAAAGGTTACCTAGGACTTTGGTAATAATGTGAGAAGCACTCAGTTCCGATTATGCATTATTTTGTGTGAGGGAAATGAGAGATCATGAGATATGTCATGTGACATTAATGGACGAATTACAGTTGTTTAATCAGAAAAGGGAAGAAATCTGGAAATTTCGTATTTAGCTATATTCTGTGTTGTGTGAAACGTGACATTAATGGACGAATTACAGTTCTTTAATCGGAAAAGGGGGTTAATTTGGAAAAGCTTCATTGTGTGTTGTGTGAAATAGTGTTGATTAATTTTCGGATTGCATGGCGCTATGTAAAGTGAATTCTAAATTTTTAATGCGTTTATCTGATAATAATAATAAGTTGAGAGTGTGTGAAAGGAAGAATATTAGAAGTTTAAATGGCTGTGCAAGAAATATGGTGAAAATGGACATTTTGTGAAAAGGAGTGTAAGGAAGGGTACGTGGTTTGCTGAAAGTAGTTTGAGTATAGGTGAAATTTTATTAATTTCTTATTACTTGGTGAATAGACTTCCAGTTGACTACTGGATTTAGGATTTAGAAATTAGCAGTAGTACTGCAGCGACGTAATAAAGATTCTGAAGAAGATTACGTAAGTTAGTATTTTTAATCATTTGAGGATATTATTTTTATGCATTGTTCTAAATGTAAGGAGTAAATAAATTAAAATGGTATTATTTGAAAATTGTTATTAGCAATGATTTAGTTTAAAGTAATTAGGATTGTAATCTAATTTTTATTAATTTAATGTATGTGCTTATTTATATTTTTAAGTAGTGTTTTTTAATTTAATGATCGTGATTTTGTGAGTTATATGTTTGTAGTATTTTGGAATATGTTTGAGTAGTATACGTTGAGTATTTTCATGCATTTTCGTGAAATTTTTCTAATTTATGAGAAAAAAGCAGTGTACATGGATATAGTGAAGAGTGTGCACAATGCCATTTTTGTGCAATTCTGGGATGTTTTTTTAAGTAAAAATAAGTCGACATATACATGGTTTAGTGATATTTTAATTAAATGATAGTTATTTTGTGAATTTTATGTTTGTAGGAATTTGGTATACGTTTTAGTTGAAGTAAACGTGCATGGAAATAATTTAAATATTTGACACTAAGTATTTGTAATGTTTGCAGTATGAATTCGTTGGTGACGTTTATAATATAATAGATAATTTAGAGGTAAAAGTTTTTAGATATTTTATTTATTTTATAAGTGGAAATGTTCATATTTGGAAAGGTTATATACTTTTTTGCGATAAGGTAATTTCATATATGTTCTTTTTATCGGGTTTAAAGATTCAGAAAATTGTCATGCATTTTCGTGAAATTTATGAGAAAAAAGCAGTGCACATGGATATAGTGAAGAGTGTGCGCAATGCCATTTTTGTGCTATTCTGGGATGTGTTTTTAAGTAAGAATAAGTCGATGTGTACATGGTTTATGTGTATGTGTTATTGTGAAAAACGCGCAAGGAGTTTCCGATTGTGCATTTTTTCCCAATTTTGCAGTGAATATTTATCATGATTAAGCAGTTTTGTTAGACAAAATTTCTAGTATAAGTGTAATTTGGCTAGTAGATTGTTGGAAAAAGTGTTCAGTAAATAAAAAGAAGAAACATGTCTTTACTTCATGAAGACAAAATGGCAGCGGAAAAAAAAAAATAGAGGGTTGCTGTAGCAGAGTTGGTCGCCAAAAAATCGCCAAGTTACCATAATCCAAAGATCAACCCCTGTGTGCACCGGATACTAGGATGCAACATAAATCTCTTGTGTGTTACTCTTTAAATAAAAGATAACAATATAATAATGACCGTATGACCTAAAATTCCACTTTAAAAGATATCTGAGAATACTAAACGTATTTAATTAAGAAAATTGCACTATTAGAATATGTACAAGTGAATTGTACTTTTAAAATTTCTTTCATCCGCAAAGCACCCGTTGGCGCCGTTGCAGTTTTACTCGCCAAGCTCACCAACGTTTGATCCAAAGAATTTTGGTTGATCGTCGTCGATCTTGGATGAGCGGCGTACGGTTATTAAGTATTACATCACATGGAAGGGTAAAATCCTAGTTTACGGTGCAGCCTTGGCGCGATTTTGAAAATTATCGCCAACACCAAAAATGACCCAAAGAACGTCTATATATACATAGTATATATTATGTATATATTCTTTGAATGACCCGTTTACTACTCATCGTATATGTGCCGTTTTTAATGCTCATCATAAAGTCGCCAAATTCCGTGTGCACCGGATACTAGGATGCAACATACAGGGATATTCACGGATTTCTCGAATACAGGAAAATTCTGGGTTTAATCCTAGTATCTGGTGCACACGGGATTTGGCTACTTTTGGCGACTTTAAGATGAGCAGTAAAAACAGGACATTGCGATGAGTAGTTAACGGGTCATTCAAAGAAAATATATATAGTTAAACATAGTATATACTATGCTATGTTATATACACACATAGTATATAGTGTATAGTATATATATATATAGACGTTCTTTGGATCATTTTTGGTGTTGGCGTTAATTTTCAAAGTCGAGCCAAGGCTGCACCGTATACTAGGATTTTACCATAAATATATATATTATTATACGAATTTCGATCAAAACATGAGCTACATTGCTAATTTCAGATTGGCATAAAAGTATTCTACTCAAAAAATAATGCTTACAAACCTAGTACACGGCTCACCTGTGAAAAGTTAAATGGCTTCCCTTAGTATTACGATTTTTGCATCCGTATGCACTGCAAGAATTAACCATACTAACAGTCAAAAAATAACTTAATTGTGTAAGAGAAGGCAAGAAATGTCAAACAATTCACACTTCAGCAAGACTCATCATAACAAACAAAAAATCACGCTCAAGGCCTGCCACAAACTAATCTACGTTTTCGACGGCCTTCGCGAAATTCCTACTAACCGCAAGATGGCGCTACTCTTCTGCTATGATACACCAAGTGCAGTCGTGAAGCTTTCCGGGCGGATAAAACCATCACCGACGTTAAAACCCGCCGGGGGAACTGAAGAAATTCACCCAATCATAGAGAACCGTTGCGCCAAGAACTTCTGGCATGATTTTCCTTTCGCCAAACGCAAATTTTGTACAAACTGGTATACCAGAAAGTACTTGTGAATGTTATGGTTTACGGTCGCCGCTTTTTCAGATGGCCCAGACTTTCCTTACCCCATCGATGACGAATAGCTGATAGCTTTGCACTTTGTAATCGATTACGAAGTCTGGATACTTTGTTTACGTTTTATGCGGAGTTGTGGTAAGGTTGTATGTGGAAAATCTTGTGAAACTGATAAGAGCCGCTCTTCATGTTTATTTTATTTTTTTTTTCCTTGCTGTATACGAGAGTGGACACAATACGAATAAATCTCTTTGCTACGGTCAATTATTTCCATTATTCGAATTAATTCATCGTGAGAACTTAACAAACTCTGATGAGAACATAACAAAGTCTTAATAAACAAAAACTTACTCATATTGCTGATACAAAAGTATTGATATGCTTTGCTCAGTTCTCTTGTTAATAAAAAACAGCACTTGTGCATGTAATGACAGTAAAAAATAGTGAAAATTTATATATGTCTGTATTGTTACCTAAGTAGTAATAATGTATGATTATAAAATAAATATTAGAATCTACTGAAGTAATAATTACATATGTTAGAACATAAGAAAAGAATCTAAATTTTTATTTATTTTAGTGATCTGTACTTTTTCTTTAATTCATGTTCACAGACTTCTTATTTTAAGTTTCCTCCAAACAGCAGAGATGCGTGTGCTAAATTTTGTACTGAACAACGGCTGTGTGAACAACACAAAATTATGTTCAAAGAAAAGAAATTCATATAGATTCTACATTGCCTACGATTGCCTAGTTAAAAAAAATCATGTTTTCCATTTCTCCACATCGAAAAATTATACCTGGGGGGGGGGGAAAGGGACCACTTCACTTGGACATTTGATGTTTTATACCAATAAAAATCCCATGGTTTTAACCATTTGGAGTCCTAATTTTAATCCCTCTTCATTGTTAGCTTTTAAGGAAATTTGCTTCTTATTTGCATTTTTGGTCTCTTTCTGTCAATAGTGGTATTAAGGATTTGGTTTTTATCATTTAACCAAACTCTCCAGTTTCTTCTGTTGCTTCTCTTTCCTTACACCCAGTGTGCATGCCATGTTGAATGCCTTATTTCAGATTCAAAATGTATAGACAGAGAACCGTACCAGGACGATGACAAAAGTGGTAATTTAACAACATAAATAACATTGGCATCAATTATCCTTTGCCTAAGACAACCACTTCCATAGAAAACAATTTAAAGCAGCAGTGCCTCGCTGTATTTTATGATTTAAAATTAATTAGCTTTAATTAACAACCCATTTTACTGATCAAAAAGTAGTATCTTATGATTATTAGTCATATTATTAAAAATTTCAAAATGGCTTTTGGAAATTTACTTCCTTACACAATGATTTGCAGTTTGGCAAAAAATCTTTCACAAGTTGGTCTTACTATGGGCAAGTATTGAATTTTGTTTCCGAAATGATAACCAGTAATTTTGATTCAGAAGTCAAACAACAAAAATCAGCGTTAATTCACAAAATTTTCACAGGACTAGTTTCGATGGTTTTACCGAACCATCATCTTCAGCTGCAAAACCGCAAATGAACAAGATAGGAAATAATGTTTAGATAAGATAAGAAAGCCTGGACAAGAATATGCAAGTGGCGCCATCTGTTGGCGAAACCAGAACTAAAACATAATTTCTCTAAAAGCCGAAGGCAAATTTGGATTGGAATTAGGATCGTTAACTAGAACAGAAAGATTTTTATGAATGTGAAATGCCTCTAGAAAATCCAGTTCTCCAATGGAAGATGTTTTTTGAATAATTTTGGCAGCAGAAAAATTGAAAGTGTGATTTTCGGACCAACAATGTTGAGCAACAGAAGACTTCTGTGTTTCCTTTTTTCTAACATATGCCTCATGTTTCTTGACGCGAAATTTTAAGGCTCTCTTAGTTTGGCCAATGTAAATTAAACCGCACTGGCAAGGAATCCTATAAATACCCCAGGAATTCATATCCGGAATGGGGTCCTTGAGTATAGAAGTTGGAATTTTATTGATGGGAGAAGTAAACAACCCGAAAGTTAAATTTCTGCAAAATATGTGCAACTTTATAGCTAATTGATGGAAAGAAGGGAATGACAACAGAATTTTTATAATCTCCTAAAATAAGAGTGTGGCTTTTAGTGTGTTGAGATGAGAATTTTTTAACTGCTTGATTAATAATGTTGGGTGAAAAGCCCCTGTCAATAGCTATTGCTTTTAAATAATTTAGTTCTTCATCAAGGGCTAGTTTGGAGGAGCAAACTTGAAGAGCACGGAAAACATAGGAATAAAATGAAGCTAACTTTTGTTTAGTCGGATGACATGATTTAAAGTGTGGTGGAAGGCAAACCGATGAAGGTTTACGGTAAACTGTAGTACTGAAGTTGGATGTGTTACGTGTGACCAGAATGTCGAGAAACGGAAGAGAATTGCAAGTCTCAAGTTCAAAAGTGAACTGAATAAGCAGGATCAATAGAATTCATTGTTGAAAGAACTCTATTTAAATCATCTTTATTACCTTCAAACAGGGTAAAAGTATCGTCTACGTAGCGGAACCATGCCGGGAAGTTTAAAGTTTCAAGCAATTTTGATTCATAATAATGCATGTAGATATCAGCCAGGATGGGACTGAGGGGGCTTCCCATGGCTAATCCCTCAGTTTGCTTGTAATATTTATTTTGGAAAACAACCAGTAATTTTGTTAACCAGTAATTTTGTTTACAGTTAAAAATCATTTCTATGGTACATGTACAGCTTTTTAGTTCTTAATATAATATACTTCAGAACTTCCTTCTTACATAAGCATGTGTAAATAAGCTATTCCTTGTATTATTATTAAGCCATCCAGAGAAGCCTTCTGACAAATTGATCACTGAACTTATGCCGTACCTTTTCTTAATTTGAAAATAATTTTAGATAATAAAATAAATATATTAGAAATCTCCGTAATTTAAAGCAAGCTTTCATTCTTCAACTACATGTCCATTTCTGATACCCAAAGGCTAATTTCAATCATAATAACTTATCTTTTACCCAGTCATTATTCAGCGAAACCTTTCTATTTGAAAATTCTGTGATCATCCTTTGTAATAAAGGCCCAAGATACAACCTCGACCAACTGTGAAATGCATAGCTCTCTTTGTACAGTATCTCTGTGACTGTTACTAGAAGGTACTAAATAGTACGTTCAAGCACTAAATAGGCTCCCTTATTCTCTGTTTGTTATTTAGTGTGTGAAATATTTTTGTGTATGTGTATTTGATAATATGTACATATATATATATATTTGTCTACCATAGGAAATAAAAATATATGCAACACAAATCTGAGTAATAACTCAGATTTGTAATGCATATATTTGTAAAGCATCATTAAGGCTGTTTACACCTTTCGTTCCAAAACAGATATTCAAATTAAAATACGTTAAGGCAATTTGTGTTTATTTACATTTGTTCCAAAATAATGTTTCTTGTTGGCATTAATTTCGCTATTGGTTGTTTAAGGCCATTTTTCATCCATTCATTTATTGAAATATTTACATTTATTACTACTTTTTTCCCTCATTAGATAATCCAAGAATTTTATATATGGTATAGGCTTGTATATATGCAATATGAATATTTTTTTTTTAATTTTCCAGAGGAAAAAAATTCTTATTTTCCATTCGTGATCTTATTACCAGATTGTGTTATAAGGTATTTCTCTTGCCTTCGTAGCATGTCTACATGATCAGCACACTCGGCACATATTCGAGAGGTCCATGGTTCGAGTCGCAGGGAGGGCATTACTCGTTTTTCACGTCTCTCAGCTTCCCCCCCCCAAAAAAAACCTTATGTCTCTACAGTGTCTTCTTCAAAATAAACAATTTGATGGAATAAAAATATTTTGGTGATTAAAACTTTTTAATCACTGCTGTTTACATCTACATTTCTTTTTTTCACATAATTTGAAGTTTGCAAGTAGTTTGAAGGTTTTCAAACTATGTTCAGAGAAATTTTAGATCTCATGCAGCCCCTCTGGGCATCTGCAAGTCAAAATCAAAAAACTATTTTTAATATCACTGGACATACTTAAAGAAATATTTTTTATACTATTATTATTGTTACAAAAAATAATATTAAGCAGATCTGTTTTTATGATTAAAATTATAATGAAATAATGATTTTCTTTTCATTTTCTGCATAAAATCCACAAATTTTGTATTTCAATTCTTTTTTAACATTTATTTTTCTGAGGATGGAAATGCTTCTCTGGAAAAAAAATTACAATTTTAGAGTTTTTTCTGATTTCACAGATTTGAAGACAGTTGGATAGAAAAGCCACAATTCTTGAAATGGATGAATAAATACAGTGCTGGGTTTTGTTATGTTTTATGCATTTAATAAATTTCCACCCAACCTGTTATTCTTTAATTCTACCTAACACAATTAATCGATACTTGTTTCTAATATTTTAGCATCAATTCTACATAATACACGAGTAATCTTTTTTAATTGAATTTATCATATTAACAAATACTTTGGCCACTATGAACTGAGAATTTTTTCCTTGACTTTATATTTCAATACTTTAGGAATTGGTAATTGATTTACTCTATAATAAAGAAATAAATGCTTGTTGAGTTTTAAACATTGTTAAAAGTGCAATAAACCTCAGCTCCTTTGTTGCATGAATAATGTTAAACTCCCTGTTAAGTATTTTTTAGCATCTGCTATGTAACAGTATGACTCCATGATTATTCCTTAAAATTGGAAGTATCAGAAATAGATGTAAATATGTATTGTCTTCTGCATTAACTTACAAAAATAAAAGCGTGAATATCTGAATGGAATTATATAGAAAGAGCTACAGGACGCTATGTTTTCATGATGGTCATTCCACTATACTGGAATATTAAATCAAACAATAAGTGCAGGAAAAGATTCAGTAAGAGGATATACGCTCTTCTGAAACAGTACATTTGATTGTAGTTGTTCCATATGATATTTCTATACAACATCCCCAAAATTTGGTAAATAACTTTGTAAACCAAGTTTAGAGTGTAAAAAAAGTAGTGGAAAAATGTGTAGTCATGTAACTGGGCTACCATACATAAAAATTAAGCAATGTTAAAAGTGTTTTATCTTAATGCCTGTTACAACCAAATAACTAGATATGAGAAAAACATGCAGTATCATACAGCTAGATGATCCCTTTTACAGAGTTGCTAATTTGAAAACAAGTTAACCTGTCAAACTATCCTTCATACTGGTTTGCTTTAGATTCATTTGGTAACAAATATGCCATTAAAGTCTGTACCAATCAATCAATAAATCTTGTTACAAGCAAGTTTTTGTTGTCAGGATGCTGTTCATAATTGGTTTTCTTTTGGTGGTATAGCAACAACGAAGGGAGAAAGATTCTGGGTAATTTAAATTCAACTAACATAACAAATTCCATTCTTCTGTAACTTTATAATTTGATACAGCTTTATTTTTTCAGAATTTTTTTCATACTACTATTTCATCCATTGCAGACAAATTTCACAAGTGCATATTTTAAAATTAATTTCACATTTAAAAAAGTATGATTTGTTATTAAAATAAAAATGAGTTATAAAAA